AAAAAAAAAAAAAAAAAAAATTAATGGATATAGCAGGTCTGTACTCTGTTCTTAGAATTGTTTTGGAGAATTTTTTTTTATATATATATATATATATATGTATCTGCATCATACATGTTTAGTATCCTCAATCTAAAATCACAGTGCTCCAGAATCTGAAACTTTTTGAGCACTGACATGCTCACATGAAATGCTCAATGGAACATTTTGGATTTCTGGATGAGGGATACTCAACTATGATACAAATATTCCAAAATCTAAAAAAATCCAAAATTCCAAATACTTCTGGTCCCAGGCATTTCAGGTAAGAGATACTCAAATTGTAGCAACCACCGTCAGAGGTTACTGTCATTACTGATGGCTTTCAGAGTGATTAGACAGTAAATAAGTGTAATGACCATGACAAGAAAGTTTTCAAAAAAAACTAAATCTTATTTACATGTAAAATAAAATAATTTTAAATAATGATTTTAAGAAGTAACTGATCTTTTGTTTTGCAGAAAATATTTACACCAGCAGCTCCAGTTCATACCAATAAAGAAGATCCTGCTACCCAAACTAATTTGGGATTTATCCATGCATTTGTCGCTGCCATATCAGTTATTATTGTATCTGAATTGGGTGATAAGACATTTTTTATAGCAGCCATCATGGCAATGCGCTATAACCGCCTGACCGTTCTGGCTGGTGCAATGCTTGCCTTGGGACTAATGACGTGCTTGTCAGGTGAGTGTACTTTTTCCCCCATGAGTTCGCTGAATTAAAGGGAAAGCATGTTGTGTGACATGAAGTCATTGAGTCATTGACCTAGTCCTATGGGAATTTGGCTTACACCGTATTTGTGGTCTTCCAACCTTTTATTTGTGTATTCTTTCCTTGTGTATCCTCTAAAATAATTTTGTACCCTCTGTCGCATAGGTGTCTATAATTTTTCATCTTAAATTTAAGGAATTGCAAAGATCTAATTTCTGTTATAATGTGTAAAGTAAGACTGTTGGGGCTGTGCACAGTCGCTCACGCCTGTAATCCCAGCACTTTGGGAGGCCAAGGCGGGCGGACCACGAGGTCAGGAGTTCGAGACCAGCCTGACCAACGTGGTGAAACCCCATCTCTACTGAAAATACAAAAATTAACTGGGTATGGTGGCGGGCGCCTGTTATCCCAGCTACTCAGGAGGCTGAGGCAGGAGAATCGCTTGAACCCAGGAGGCAGAAGTTGCAGTGAGCCAAGATCGTGCCACTGCACTCCAGCCTGGGTAACAGAGTGAGACTCCCGTCTCAAAAAAAAAAAAAGAGAGACTGTTAGGATGTTTTAAAAATATACCCAGTGAGTCTAAATACCATTAGCAATTTGATACCCACTATCACCATCATTCCTTTAAAACAAATGTGAATATACTTTTTTAACAGTTGGAAATTTACATTTTTTTCTTCCTATAATTTATATTTTCATTAACTTTCCTTAATTTTACCCCAATGATTATCAGTTTTTGCTTCAAAATGTATTACAGAGCTGATCCAAGTGCAGTGGTGTTTACAACTAATTGATGACAAACCAGTTACAGATTTCTTTCTTCCTTGTCCACTCCCACTGCTTCACTTTATGAGCCTAAAGAAATATATGTGTGGATCACCCCATCATATCTACCTGCAATAAAAATATGCATTTAATATCATTGAATTTTCAAAGATACTGTAAATTTCTCCTAGTAAATCTCTAAGTGTTAACTCTATAAATTGAGTTGTTATAGTTATTAGTACTCAAAGAAAATATATTACAGATTTAAATAATCATTTTTAAAAAGTGGAAATACATCTCTTAATGAGATGATAGAGCTATTTTTTATTCATTTATTTATTTATTTATTTTTTAGAGACAGGGTCTTGCCCTATCACTCAGAGGGCTGGAGTGCAGTGGCATGATCATAGCTCACTGAAACCTGGAGCTCCTGGGCTCAAGTGATCCTTCCACATCAGCCTCCTGAGTAGCTGGGACCATGTCACTATGCCCAGCTAAGTTTTTTGTTTTTTTGTAGAGACAGGGTCTGGCTGTGTTGCCCAGGCTGATCTTGAACTCTTGGGCTCAAGCTATCCTTCCACCTCAACAATACCAATGTACTGATATTATAGGTATGTGTGCCTGGCCCATCCTTTTACCTTGTATTTATTTTTTAAATTTTTATTTATTTATCTTTTTATTTATTTTGAGACAGATTCTCGCTCTGTCACCCAGGCTGGAGTGCAGTGGCATGATCCCGGCTCACTGCAGCCTCCGCCTCCCGGGCTCAGGCAGTTTTCGTGCCTCAGCCTCCCAGGTAGCTGAGACTGCAGGCACGTGCCATCACGCCTAGCTACTTGCTGTATGTTTTGGTAGAGATGGAGTTTCTCATGTTGGCCAGGCTGGTCTCAAACTCCTGACCTCAAGTGATCGCCCGCCTTGGCCTCCCAAAGTGCTGGGATTATAGGCGTGAGCTACTGCGCCTGGCCCCTGGCCCATCATTTTACAATTTTTAAACATTTTATAGAAATAATTTTAAGTTTACAAAGCAGCAAAAATAAAATAGTACAAAGAACACTTATATATCTTTTGCCTAGATTCACCTGTTAACATTTTATCCCATTTGTTTTAGCATTTGTACTCTATCTAAATAAAATTATAAATGTGTATATATACTCATGGTTTAAATACCTGTCTATAGTGTGTACATATACATACATTATGAGCTATGTAATGCACACACATACACACAACATTTAATATATTTTATGTATTGATACAGTACTTGAATCTGTCATCCATATTTTAATTTTGGATGACCCAATGTCCTTTCTTTTTTTGTTTTTTGAAAGGACATAGGCCGGGCGCGGTGGCTCACGCCTGTAATCCCAGCACTTTGGGAGGCCGAGGCGGGCGGATCACAAGGTCAGGAGATTGAGACCATCCTGGCTAACACGGTGAAACCCCATTTCTACTAAAAAAGTACAAAAAATTAGCCGGGCTTGGTGGCGGGCACCTGTAGTTCCTGCTACTCGGGAGGGTGAGGCAGGAGAATGGCGTGAACCTGGGAGGCGGAGCTTGCAGTGAGCCGAGATCGCGCCAGTGCACTCCAGCCTGGGGGACAGAGCGAGACTTCATCTCAAAAAAAGAAAGAAAAAGAAAGAACATAAAACTTATTAAATATTTCACTTCTGACAGCAGTTTTATGTAATTTAAGTGGATGTAACAGTCTTTTTATTATTATTTTGTCTCAATTGTTAAGTCATATGTCTTTATTTCTACATCTTCCTTCTCTTTCACAGCTTTAGTTTTATAGATTTAACCACTTTTTTTTTTTTAATACTTTAAGTTCTGGGATACATGTGCAGAACGTACAGGTTTGTTACGTTAGGTATACGTGTGCCATGGTGATTTGTTGCACTCATCAACCTGTCATCTAGGTTTTAAGCCCCGCATGCATTAGGTATTGGTCCTAATGCTCTCCCTCCCCTTGCCCCCAACCCCTCGATAATGTCCTTTATATCAGTGTTTTTCCCTTCGGTCTAGGTCAGGTATTGCATTTAGTTATTTATTTATTTTTTTTAGTCTTTTAATCTGAAATATGTCCATCGCCTTTTTTAAAAATGTTTTCTGACATCAGCTTTTTTGGGAGAATACAGTGCATCCCCCCTCCCCTGGCGGAATGGACTGTTCCCCATTTCTTGTTTGTCTGATGTTTCTTCATGGTTAGATTGAGGTAGGCATTCCTGACTAGAAAACTGCATAGGTGATACTTTGTCTCTCCAAGAATGTCTCATCTGGAAGCACATGGTGTCCATTTATCCCTCATTGGTGACATTAATTTTGGTGACCCAGTCAGGATTTCTTTTCTGTGTTGTCTTCGTCTTCCCTTGTAACTAATATCTAATCTGTAGGGATATACTTAAAGACAGTACAAACACCCTCTTCCTCATCAAAATTTCTCCAAAGATTTTGCATCAGTTGATGATTCTTGCATAATTAAATCTTTCCTTGATGTTTGCAAAATGACGACTTTTAATTCTAGTACTTGCATATTCACCAGTAAGCCTTGACATTCTACTGCCAGCGAGAGCTCTCCTTCCTTTCCCATTTGTTTGTCTTTTTACTATTAGTACAAACTCATGGATTCCTTTTTTCAGTGGTTTATAATTAATTATTTAACTATTTTGCTGATTAAATTATCCCAGGTTAGGCCAGTGGGAGCCTTTTCAAACTGTGTCCTGTGTCTTTGTGGCATGCTTCCATTTGTTTTTGCTCCTCACTTTCTAGTACAACAAGATATTACAGGTTCATCATGCTCCTGCTCTGCCCAGTCCTGGAACTGGCCATTTCTCAGAGGAGTTTTGAGGAGCTTTTTAGGGGAGAATGTTATTAGACAAGATCTCGGTGCAAGGTTACTGAGCTCATTGTTACAAATTGCCTCTTGTCTTTTCAGCGGACAGAGCTAGAAAATATGTGCTTGTATCCTGTGTGTATACTTACATATATACAAATATACATTCATACATATACACACACACAATAATTTAAATACAGATGTGCACGCAGACATAGGTTTGCTACATTTCTAACCATGATTTTAAGATCTTTTAAGTTTTGTAATGTAGGGAATTTACATACAGGTTATACATTTAATTTTCAGGCAGGTTTATAAGTGTTGCACCCATTTCATAAAAAGAGCTAGTGAATTAAAGAGTAATTGTATTTTTCTTTCTTTCTTTCTTTTTTGAGATGGGGTCTCACTCTGTTGCCCAAGGTGGGATGCAGTGGCATGATTACAGCTCACTGCAGCTTTGACCTCCTGGGCTCAAGTGATCCTTCTACCTCAGCCCCTCAAGTAGGTTGGAACCACAGGTGTGTGCCACCCCATCAGGCTAATTTTTGTATTTTTTTTGTGGAGACAGGATTTCACCATGTTGACCAGTGGTCTCAAGCTCCTGGGCTCAAGTAATCCGCCCGACTCGGTCTCCCAAAGTGCTGGGATTACAGGCATGAGCCACTGTGCCTGGCCAGAGTAATTGTATATATTATATGTATGGTCGTATCCTCTGTTCCTTACGTAGTTGTTTTTGTTTGTTTATGAGACAGGGTTTCACTGTGTTTCCCAGGCTGGTCTGGAACTTCTAGGCTCAAGCAATCCTTCCGCCGTGGCCTCCCAGAGTGCTGGGATTATGCCACTTTGCCCAGCCAAATTTTTAAGTTTTAATTACTGAATTAGTATTACTGATGTAGTTGTGTTTCCCCGTTAGGATTTGAGTTCTTGATATAGTTCCAAGCATCATTTTTTATATAACTTACACAGATGTCTTATCAGTGGGAAAGAGTGGAACTGAATGTTTGAGCCTGTTGTAACATTATTTTAATATATGTTATAAGAATTTTTAGGTTTTTTTTTTTTTCATAAAATGTACTTATTTTAAATAGTTACAAAGGAGCAGAGTTTGAATCTTGCTATGTGAGAATCTTGTCATGATGCTTCACTAGAAGTTTGTAATTTAAAGATTTGTGATGAAGAAATACCACTATGAAAGTGGTGTGGCTTCCAGGTAATAAAATCTCAACTCTTGAGAGGGCCTCTGAGCTAATCTCTACCCCAGGTACTGTGCCTTGCACAACGTATGGGCAAACCAGCCTCTGGCTGAACATGCCTGGAAAGGAGTTCAATATCTTATTTAACATCTCTCTGAAAGATGTGCCATCTTCAGCTGGACCATTGGCTTCTGAATAAGCTGTGTTAGGCCTGGGCTAGATCTGAGGGTTTATTATTGGTGGAGGGAAAGAACTGGAACTACTTGAGTTTATTACATGCTAGATTAGCTTCTAATGTGAACCATTTTTCTTTCAACAGTGATAAATTTTTATTTCTGAAGTTAACTGTTCCTTTAGTCGGTCATGATACACACTCATTAACAAACATACTGTTGTATTTTTTCCAGTTTTGTTTGGCTATGCCACCACAGTCATCCCCAGGGTCTATACATACTATGTTTCAACTGTATTATTTGCCATTTTTGGCATTAGAATGCTTCGGGAAGGCTTAAAGATGAGCCCTGATGAGGGTCAAGAGGAACTGGAAGAAGTTCAAGCTGAATTAAAGAAGAAAGATGAAGAAGTAAGCCATGGCACCATTGATCTGGATCAGAAAGGCACTCAACTAGGAATAAACACTCCAGAGGTTTCTCAGTGGCCCCATCTGTGTGATATGCGTGGGCTACACCAAAATAACGTCTTTTGCTTAGTTCTGTTCTTATACCTGTCTGTGATCTGACTTGGGGTTGGTGTGAATGTAGTAGAGAAAGGAAGCTGAGAGATGAATACTGAGCACAGGTAATCAGTTTCCTTAATTAGGTTGATTATAAGCTCCTGAAAAGCAGGAACTGTATTTTATAATTTTACATGTTTCTCCCATAGTGTCTGGGATAGTAAATGATCAGTAAATCCTGTTTGGTTTGTTCAGCTGAGGAGAAACGGAAGAATTGAGACTATAGCATTTGTTGCTGTGTGAGACCAGTGCTTCAGAGGGGAGGTTTGGGGGTCACATAAATGTAGTTTTTTTGGAGCATATTTCATAGAATTTAAACACTTATAAAAGAAAAATTAAGTGATTTATGTGCTATTTTATTTGCTTCCTGTGCTTACTTTCATTTGTTTATTATTTATTTTAGTTCCAACGAACCAAACTTTTAAATGGACCAGGAGATGTCGAAACGGGTACAAGCATAACAGTACCTCAGAAAAAGTGGTTGCATTTTATTTCACCCATTTTTGTTCAAGCTCTTACATTAACATTCTTAGCAGAATGGGGTGATCGCTCTCAACTAACTACAATTGTATTGGCAGCTAGAGAGGTGAGTGATATTTGAGAGGAGACTGTTTAAAACGAAATGCAATTAATATTACTTTGTTCCAGAAAACACTGGACACACTCAAGTGGGCCACAGCATTCCTTCATATGCAAGACTGTTTTACATCTGATAATTCTGCCAGTCTCTAAAATTGGCTTTCTCCCAGTTCCTGCTACCTGCAGGTGATATTCTTGTAACCAAGCTTAGTTGGACTGTTTTTACTCATCTTCTTCCCTTTGGTTTTGCCAAAATGATACTGGGGTACTAGTCATCTTAGCTTGGTTTTCTTTCTTATCATAGAACTTTCTTTTTTATAGTAGTTGAGAATATGAATCGGTATAGTATTATTGAAGGCCATTTTGGTGTTTAATAAAGTGTATAGCTTTTGGTTTATCTGTTACACTAAAGAAATTGAGTGTTGCACAGACTACTTATAATTATTGTAACTTAGTAGAAATTTAGAAGCAGCCTAATAATCCAGCAGAAAATTGGTTCAACTATTTACAAATCTCTGTGTAGCTCTTAGAATATTCACTCTTCAACATCATTTTAGTGACATGGAAAAATTTTAAAAGGAGGTTTACTTTTAAAATATAAAAATAAGGCCGGGCGCGGTCCCTTAGGCCTGTAATCTCAGCACTTTGGGAGGCCAGGGTGGGTGGATCACCTGCGATCGGGAATTTGAGACCAGCCTGGCCAGCATGGAGAAACCCCTACTACTAGAAATACAAAAATTAGCTGGGCAAGGTGGCTCATGCCTGTAATCTTAGCTACTCAGGAGGTTGAGGCAGGAGAATTACTTGAACCGGGGAAACAGAGGTTCCAATGAGCCTAGATTGTGCCACTGCACTCCAGCCTGGGCAGCAGAGCGAGACTCTATCTCAAGAAATTAAATAAATGATACATAAAAACAAAAAAGACTTAAGGAAATAAAAACATTGTTTTTATTTCAGTGCTTATGTATCGTTGAGTACTGCTATTATGGGTAATTTGTTTTATTTATTTACTTTTTGGTTGGGGTGGGGTCTCACCATGTTGTCCAGGCCCGTTTTGAACCCCTGGCCTGAAACTTCCTGCCTCAGCCTCGCAAATAATCCTTTTGGGATTATAGGCATGAGCCACTGCTCTGGTCTAGGTGACTTGTTTGTTTCTGTGTAGGAACTTTCTGTTAGGTCTTAGCCCAAGAATCCTAAGTCCTGGAGTGGGAAGCTAATGGCCTCAGCTCATCTTGTTGTAGCTTTTACTCTTCAGATGAAGAACCTGACACCCAGAGAAATCGAGTGACTTGTGTGAGGGAGTAAGCTGGCTGTCTGTGGCCTTCTTCACAGTTGTTCAATGCCACTTACTTAAAACATGCCCACTGATTTTTTTTCTTTAATTTTTCTTTTGAGGAATAGCTAGGTTTTGTATGAGGTGCCTGTCATTGTTCACACGGATTTATTAAGATTTCCTGTGGAGATGATTGTGGAATGGAATACTGCTACTGCTTTTCAACCTCTTTTTGATCTTAACTAATGTTATTTCTTATCTGTGTTTATATCAAATTCTTTTTATAAGATTAAAATTGTTTCTAATTCCTTGGAACTGTCTACTGTAAAAGAACAAGTTCTTTAATTATAGGCTGTGGTTTAAAATATAAGACAGTTGAAGACCAGGACTAAGATAGATGGGAAAGGCTGTTTTGTCAGAGAAGCCTCAAAAATGCTGTATTTTGAGGAAAAAAAATGGAACTCTGATTTTCACTGGATTCCCGTAAAACAAACTTTCTTTAAAAAATATCACTTTAATTAGCTGGGCGTGGTGGCAGGTGCCTGTAATCCTAGCTACTAGGGAGGCTGAGGCAGGAGAATCACTTGAACCCAGGAGGCAGAGGTTGCAGTGAGCCGAGATCGTGCCACTGTTCTCTAGCCTAGGTGACAGAGTGAGACACTATCTTAAATAAAAAAAAATATATATGTGTGTGTGTGTGTGTATGTATATATATAATGGCTGTATCCTATATTCTTCTTGATTTCTAGCCTTTTATTGGCTTTCAGATTGCCAGAGTTGTACTCAAAAGTAAGTAACCATATTGTTGAAGTGGTAGTGGTTCTACCAGGGTGAGTTATCCTGATAGCAGAATCACTGCGTTTTTCTGTCTGCTCTATGGCATACAGTCTATGCCATAGACTGTATGCCATAGAGCAATGTGTGAAAGGCTTGAGGCTCCCTACCTACGAGACACCCCGGTCCATTCTAGCAGTATGGCACTTGCTGACTGGGTCTGAGTCTCTTGCTGTATAATCATGTTACTACACTTCCCTGCATTTCCTTATCCAAAAATGGGGATTACCTGCTTTGTGGATCGTTTTGCAGATGAAATAACACACGCAGGGTATCTAGCACGGTCCCACACGTGGCACATTCAGTGTTAGCCACACTTCCATACTAACTGCACTGTGGGGATATATAATGAGCTCTTAAATGGCAGGAATGTTGTGTCTTTTTCTGTTCCCTTAGTATTCCTATTTTTGTTGGTAATTTTTCTTATGAACCATGCAGTTGTCTAGTTCAGGCCATTTTAGTATGCAGTTTTATCTTTGCTTCCAACATGATTTACTGTTCCCAAATTGGATTTCACATAATCCTAGTGTCTTTTGAGATGTGAATTGGTTCTAGGCCAAAAAAGGGTGAGGGGGAAGGAAGAAATTCAGAGTCAAATTTGGCAAATATATTCCTGGTGTTTTGTTTTTTGTTTTTAAGACTCAGGCCGGGTGTGGTGGCTCACGTGTTTAATCCCAGCACTTTGGGAGGCCAAGGCAGGCAGATCGCCTGAGGTCAGGAGTTTGAGACCAGCCTGGCCAACATGGAGAAACTCCGTGTCTACTAAAAATACAAAAATTAGGTGGGTGTGGTGGCACTCGCCTGTAGTCTCAGCTACTCAGGAGGCTGAGGCAGGAGAATCGCTCGAACCCGGGTAAGCCGAGATTGTGTCACTGTACTCCACTCTGGGTGACAGAGCTAGATTCCATCTCAAAAAAAAAAAAAAAAAAAAGGACGACTCAGTATACAAATAAAGACTGAAAAATCCTATATTAAAGGAACTAGTTTACTACTAGTTTATTTTACTTAATCTAGTGCATTTTTAAATATCATTTTCTTTCTTTTTTTTTTGAGACAGGATCTGGTTCTGTTAACCAGGCTGGAGTACAGTGGCACAATCCCCGCTCACCTCAACCTCCACCTCCTGGGCTCAAGCCATTCTCCCACCTCAGCATCCGAAGTCTGGGACTACAGATTCCCGCCACCACGGCTGGCTAATTTTGTATTTTTTGTAGAGATGGTGTTTTGCCATGTTGCCCAGGCTGGTCTTGAACTCTTGAGCTCAAGCAATCTGCCCACCTTGGCCTCCCAAAGTGCTGAGATTACGCCTGGCCTAAATATTACTTTCAAATAGAACCATCTTCATGGATAGCAGTTTATAATAAACAAGTAGAATTTGGGAAATGTACTCCCACTCTTCGATTCTTCACAGTGGATGCTTCAGCCATTTTCCTGTCTCTGCACACACACTGCCCAGCAGCGGGCTTTCCCTTCTCCTTCATAACAGCCGCAGTTCCCTTTCTTCATTCCCACCCATCACAGTGGCAGCCCCTCTACCCTCCTGTATTCTGAATTCCACCCTTATAATATGCTTAGATTTTGCCTTTCTCTCAGCCGTTTTGTGAGCATTGTTCGTGTGTACCAATTTTTTCTCATCCTTTAAAAAGAAAAAGCCCCTTTCCTCAATTTTACATCTCAAATCCCACTTGTGTCAGACGGCTTGGCTGTGATGGGAATAAGCCTTGGCTCTGCTCTCCTTGCATACTTAGCCCGTGGAAACCCAGTTTCTGGCCTCACCAGGAACACTGTTGTGCTTTGAGCTCCCCATGGCCTTCGATGGTGCCTCCATTGGTCCTCACAGGAGGTAATTGCCTGGCCACCTCACTTGCTTTCTCCTGTGGACCCTTCTTTATCCTTCCTTGAATGCCGCCTTTGTCCTTCATGATTATGTCATCAACATTCTTCTCTTTCTGCTTTCTCTATACGAGGGTTATTGACTCTTTTTTTTTTTTTTTTAATTTGAGAGTCTTGTTCTGTCACCTAGGCTGGAGTGCAGTGGTGCAATCTTGGCTTGCTGCAACCTCTGCTTCCTGGATTCAAGCGATTCTAATGCCTCAGCCTCCGAGTAGCTGGGATTAGAGGCATGTGCCACCAAGCTTGGCTAGTTTTTATATTTTTAGTAAAGATGAGGTTTCACCCTATTGGCCAGGCTGGTCTCAAACTCCCAACCTCAGGTGATCTGCCTGCCTTAGCCTCCCAGAGTGGTGAGATTACATGTGTGAACCATCCACCCACCATGATTCAGCTGACTCTTCACTTTAAAAATCACATTGGTCTTACCATAGTTCATCCAAAGAATTGTGGGAGAGAAACTTGGGTGTCATGCTTGATTTTTTTTTTTTTTTTTTGGAGATGGTGCAGTGGTATGGTCTCGGCTCACTGCAGTCTCCACCTCCCAGATTCAAGCGATTCTACTGCCTTAGCCTCCCCAGTAGCTGGAACTGCAGGTGCCCGCCACCACACCTGGCTGATTTTTTGTATTTTTAGTAGAGACGGAGTTTCACCGTGTTTTGATCTCCTGACCTTGTGATCCGCCCTCCTCGGCCTCCCGAAGTGCTGGCATTACAGGCATGAGCCACTGCACCCAACCAATTTTTCTTTTTTTAATAAGAGATGGAGTCTTGCTTTGTCACCCAGGATGGAATTTGTAGCACAGTAGTGTGATCATAACTCGCTGTAGCTTCAAACTCAGGCTCAAGTGATCCTTTCACCTCAGCTTCCTTAATAGCTGGAACTACATTCATGAACCACTGCACCATTATTTTATTTTTAAGAGACAGGATCTCGCTGTATTGCTCAGGCTAGTCTCGAACTCCTGGCCTCAAGTGATCCTTCTGCCTTAGCCTCCTGAGTGGCTGGCTCCACTGTGCTTGGCTCTGATATTTTTCCATAAAGCCTATCATTTTATCATGGATGTATATTAATTTGCCTTCTTAATTTCTCTCAAATTCACCTGCTTTTTGCCTACAGTCATCTACCCCAATCTGGGGCAGTGCTCTTTCTTTCCAGGGCTGTTGATGTAGCATTGCAGTGGATCACCCTTTCTTCAGTCTTGTTCCCCTCCGGTTCTTTCTCTTCAGTAGACTTTAAAAAATTTTTGAGATAGGGTCTTACTCTATTGCCCAGGATGGAGAACAATCACAGCTCACTGCAGACACAACCTCCTGGGCTCAAGTGATCCTCCCACCTCATCCTCCCGAGCGGCTGGGACCACTTGTGGTTGCTAGGATGCCTGGCTAAGTTTTTATTTTTTTGTAGAGATGAGAGGTCTCACTATGTTGCCTAGGCTAGTCTCAAACTGCCAGGCTCAAGCAGTTCTCCTGCTTCAGCCTTCCAAAGTGTTGGGATTACAGGCATGAGCCACTGCACCTGGCCTAGTGGACTTTTAAAGCATAAATCTGTTTTGTTACTTTCCAGCTAAAAACCAGTAAGTGTCTTAGGACACAGTTTAAACTCCAAGATGGTAGGGTCCTCCCTGACCTGGGCTCCCAGCTACCCTTTTGTGAAATGGTGAAGGGCTCTGCAGCTGGTTGTCTGGTACTGCTGGCCTTTGCTTTCTACTTAGCATGTTCCTTCTCCCACAAAACAAAATCACATTCTCACCACCCCCTGCTCATTCTTCAGGGCTATCTTCTGGGAAACTTTCACTAAATACTCCTCTCCTCCGAATCTGAGTGCCTGCTTTGCTCAGGTAGCATGTGTTCACTGGATAAATCCTTGGTTCCTGGCACTGAGGCAGGGTTTCTGTTCCCAAGAAGCAGAGGCATACTATTCTGCGAAAGATTGACTTGAGTTTCTCATAACACCAAGCAGTACCTGAGGGAACAACCGTCTAGCTTAAAATCCTCCCTAGCACTTGTCATAGCAGTGCTACGTATTGCCTGTGAAGGAAGTTTAATAACTGCTAAACGGTTTGATTAGCTTTATTTCATCAGGATTTTTTTGACTTTACAAATTGATTTGGGTTATTTCAATTTTTAGGTCTAGTCTTAAGTATAACCGGTACATATTCCTTCAAGCAGCCATTACACCTTTCATAAATTTATTATACACCTGCATTTTTATAACTATTATGCTTTTTAATTGTTGGCCACCATTTTTAGTGCTTCTGAATTGTTATGGTTCTTATGAATTAATACTTGGTTTTGAATTAATGCTGTGACGCTTGCTTCCAGGACCCCTATGGTGTAGCTGTGGGTGGAACTGTGGGGCACTGCCTGTGCACGGGATTGGCAGTAATTGGAGGAAGAATGATAGCACAGAAAATCTCTGTCAGAACTGGTAAGTCTTGAAAATTACAAATCAGATAACATTTTAGAATCACAGAGAGATTAAAGGGTGTTAGCTTTATTTAAATTGCTGCTGCTGAAGTATACTTGGTTTTTGTAATTACCTACTATTACTCTTGGTATTGCAAATATGGACTCTTTTTCACCTGTGTAGAAGTTAGCAAAATACAAAGTCATTTTTATTGAATTCATAGTAGCTTCTTGTTAACATAGTATCTTAGTAAAACAATTGCCATTTGGAAGTATGAGAAGTTTTTGGCTCTAAAAATGTGTCTTACAAGACTGGAATCATATGTTCAGACCATGTACTGATTCTGCTGAATATGTCCTGTGAAGCTACAGTTAGGTCTGGAGATGGAAGAATTGTCTCTTTGCTAGTCAGAAGACTTGAACATTTTCTTTTATAACTGGATTTTAAAATGAGTTACAGTTCTCCTGTTGCTTGTCAGCACTGTCTGGATTTAATACACTCCTGTCATTTCTCAAAACAGTGCTGGAGAAAAACCTGATTCTTACTGTTCACACTCAAGCGTGTTAAGTGTTGTTCCTTGCTATTTAAAAGGGGTTGAAGTGATTCTAATTTGTTTTCAAGGTTAGTTTACTAGATTGGAAGAATAATTGGCCACCTCATCGGCTCCCTTTTCATTTTGTATAGTATCAAGGTATAGGAATTTTGCTGTATTTGACTTTTTTTTTCTCTCTTCCAGTGACAATCATAGGAGGCATCGTTTTTTTGGCGTTTGCATTTTCTGCACTATTTATAAGCCCTGATTCTGGTTTTTGACAAGCTGTTTGTTCATCTGTATTTAGTTTAAAATAGATAATATTATCTTTCTGTACATAGTGTACATTACAACTAAAAGTGATGGAAAAATACTGTATTTTGTAGCACTGATTTGTGAGTTTGACCCATTATGATGTTTGAGATATAATCATTGATTCTATTTGTAACAAGGAGTTTTAAAAGAAACCTGACTTCTAAGTGTGGGTTTTTTTTCTCTCCAGCATAATTATGTTAATATAGTCCCCATTTTTATTCTGGTGCAGAACTGTTGTGCAGTGGGGTCTGCCATGCGATTTTCCTTCAGCACTGACCCCTTTTTAAGGAATACAAATTTTCTCCTTCATCATTTAGGTGTTTTAAAGATGTTTACCTTAAAAATTTTCTTGGGGAAAGAATGAATTAATTTCTATGTTTTGAAACATTTCCCTGAGCCAGTAAGCAGTAGTTTAATCATCGGTCTTTTCAAAATTAGGTGTTTAAAAAAAGACATATATGATATTACTGTTATATCAATAACGTACAATAAGAACTGTCTGCCAGGTCATTCTTCCTCTTTTTTTTTTTTTTAATTGGGTAGGACACCCAATATTAAAACAGTCAATATTTGACAACGTGGAATTACCAAATTAAAAGAGAATACTATGAATGTATTCATATTTTTTCTATATTGAATAAACAATGTAACATAGATACAATATAAATAAAAGTGGTATGACCAGTGCTTGTTTTTCCTTGTGTGTTATATACAATTATCAGTATTGATAGGCCAATTTCTAAAGCTGATGTAAAAAACTAATATATTAAACATTTGAGATATGCCTAAAGTAGCTAAACAGGAGCCAGGCATTCATTGCTCGAAAGTACTGTCGTCACCCTTTCAGTTCTGTGAGCTAGTAGGTACTAATATAAGGTTAAACAAGAAAAAACTAACTCACCCAAGGTTACGTGGTAGAGTCACACTAGGCAGTTTAATTCCAGAGCCTAACATCATTCATTATGCTATGACTGCCTTGTTTTTTCATAGCAACCTCAGTCGTCACTGTCGTTTTGAGTATATTCTGACTACTCCTCCACCTAAGTAGAATAACAGCTGCTTTCTGTCAGCCTTTTATATTCTAGAATCATATGCAGTAATATTCCCATTAATAGCCTCACTAAACTGAAGGACAATTCTACAGAAACATTCATGTTACTTGTGTGAAGTGTAAGAGACCCAGAGCAATTCAGGTTTATGAGTTACTACAAAGGTCCACAATGTAGTTTGCAATTTGAAGCGATTGTGAAAGAACCCAGTTAATCACCCAGCACTGTAGGAATTGCTACATGGTAACTCTGTGAGGAAGATAGCTACTACTGTGGAGATCTTAGAGGGGTCTTCAGCTAAAAAGTAACTTTTAAATGCCAAGTAGCACATGTTGGTGAAAAAGGTCGTATTTGTGAACTTTTCAGTTCTCTGCTATAGGAAGTATCAAAGGGTAGAAAACTCAATGTCTTGTGGATTAAGATAAACTCTGTGGTTAGACAGTCTATATTGCCTTAGATTATTATAAAGAGTGAGGAATTCTCACTAATACTTTTTTTTTTTTTTTTTTTGAGACAGAGTCTCACTCATGCCCAGGCTGGAGTGCAGTGGCACGATCTTGGCTCACTGCAACCTCCACCGCCCGGGTTCAAGCAGTTCTTCTGCCTCAGCCTCCCAAGTAGCTGGGATTACAGGCGTGCACCACCATGCCTGGCTAATTTTTTGTATTTTTAGTAGAGATGGGAGTTCGAACTCCTGACCTCGTGATCCGCCTGCCTCAGCCTCCCAAAGTGCTGGGATTACAGGTGTGAGCCACCATGCTCGGCCTACTAATACTTTTTTTTTGCTTTTTTTTTTTTTTTGAGACAGAGTTTCACTCTGTCACCCGGGCTGGAATGCAGTGGCATGATCTCAGCTCCCTGCAACGTCCGCCTCCTGAATTCAAGCAATTCTCCTGCCTCAGCCTCCCGAGTTGCAGGGATTACAGGTGCCTGCCACCACGCCCGGCTAATTTTTTGTATTTTCAGTAGAGACAGGGTTTTACCATGTTGGCCAGGCTGGTCTTGAACTCCTGACCTTAGGTGATCCACCCACCTTGGCCTCCCAAAGTGCTAGGATTACAAGCGTGAGCCACCGCGCCCGGCTGTTTTTCCAATAACAGAAGAGACAATTACTCGTAGAGCGTAGCTGGTACCATCATAGCCTAACCTCAGTTCAGATAGCTTGGTCCCAATACTAGCTTCATATGCAAATAACAACAGCGTCGCACTCTGAGGCACCACAATCTTGTAGCAGGACATAATTCCTCTGAGAATTTGGTAAGTCAGACCTAAGCTACAAAAAATCGCTATTGCAGCAATTAGGCTCCATAGTTGAATAAAAGAAAGGGAAATGTCATTGATTGTGATCTTAAAATATTTAATAGTCTTTCTTTAAAATCCAAAATGTGATTCTTACAAGTTATGTGCCACATGAAGCAGGTGTTATTTCTTGAGAAATGCAGGTGATACTGAAAAACATAGCACTGAGGTATTTTTTTATTTTTAAAATTGAAGGAAACAAAGTCTGGATCTAATTATTTTTACATTTACAAAAAACTACTGCTTGGCTCTTTTGCTATAAGTTTAGGTTCTGAATACATGACAAGAGTATGGGAAAGAGCAGAATAATAGTACACGCAGTTTTAAAAGCTATGCACATCATAACCTGGAATAATGATTACACAGCAAGAGGCCTGAGTGGAGGTAGGCTAATAACATTTTGACTTTCTCCTCAAAGGATAGCTTTGAAAAACAAGTGTAACCAATTGTTACACCAAATTAAAATGGCAATATTAAATCGGTAACAAAACGATCCACATTTTATACAATATTGTATTTCCAAACATACATAGGTCATGAAAATCAGAGAACCTAATATAGCACCGTTGAAACCATTCATTATCCCTCATGCGTGTATGCAATTCAGAATTTTGGCAGAAGACAACAAATGGAAAATGTCAGTTTCATTTCTGTAAATCAATTTGGATTTCAATTAAATCTTTGCCTTAGTAAAGGGTATTCTTAAGATCAATTAGCCGTTTTTAGCTCCACCGTTTTGGAAGTAAAAATGATGGGCTACATCTACTTTTTAATTTAAAACCAAGAACCAAGCAGTAAGGACAGCAACGTCAAGAATATCACATTGAGAACCACACAGAACATTATAAAGAATTTGGTGCATGTTTTAACAACTACCAACTGATGTTAACAATGAAAAATTTACAAAGATAATTTTTTTTTTTTTTTTTGCACTGACTGGTTTCAATACAGCACTGAATTAAACTCATCTTTGGGCTTCAATCTTTACATAGAGTGAATATGAAAGTGCCATACTGAGGCCTTCCCCAACTTTGTACCATAGTAAAGATCTTGAAATCATTCCAGAATGGTCTAAGTGATAGCTGTTCTGGCTGACATTTTTTTTTTTTTTTTTTTAAATAAAAGACATTTCCTGGCCAATTTTTTTGCTTGAAGATGATTGTCTGGTTATACAAGACATCAATCTGAAAGTAACAACTTATTTTAACTTAACTACTGGCACAACCACTGCCAGCATTGAACTTGCACTAGTCCAAGCCAACTCAAAAACACATTATAAACATTTGAATGTCATTTTTAAAAGCGATGTCACAGTTTGTTTCCTAAGAAATGTAAAAGCTTTTATTTGAAAACATTGTGTCTTCATTTTAACCCTCAGAGTTAAGAAATGTTTTTTAGATCATTGAGTTGTGGTTGACGTGCTTTAACTACCATTCTCTAAGTTGTGTGCTATACCTAGCCTGTGGGACTCCATAGCTTCTCTGAGTCCTAAAGTGGAGGATTCTGTTCTAATGCATGTGACCAAGAAGGATCCTCAAATGTCTAGGCTTCCAATATTCCAACACTGCTTTATTGGGCAGTGCTGTGTATGGAAGTTTAGTTTTGTTTTCAAAGGACCAAGTAACACGACACCATGTTAAAGACAGCAAACATTTTTTGTAGAAGTTTTCAGCCTGTATACATTATTCCATCAAATTTAAGAACTTTAAATGGATTTTAATATGGATATAATGACAGCCATTAAAAGATGCTATTTCTTTTACTAACATTTCCCCAGTTGGGCAAAATAGAGGCATCGTGTGCCATTGGTTGTCATACTGGCCTTTGGCTGTGTTGGGGAAGTAATCATACAAAAAGTGCCCATAAAACAGAGAAGGCAGCAAGTGAAACTAGAAAAAGGTTGGAACTATATGAATCAGATTTGAAAGAAGTTATTTTTAAAATTCTTTCTGAGATGACTTGAGGAGGGAAGTGCAGGGGCTTCTGGAGTTGGCCCCTCCACTGCCGTCCTGAAGTAAAGTAGGTTCAGACTGTCCGTAAAGATTATCGTGAGAGTTGGTGACTGCACCCCAAACCAGAGCCAGTTCTCTAAGAAGAATATGGTGCAAAACAAAACAAACCACAAATTAAATACATGACACTGAAATCACTTTGATGAGAAAACAGAACACACAGATATTTTAAAATACAAATAAATACATTTAGCCATTTTTATTCAACAACCCCAGAGAACTGTTTTAAAAGCAACTGCTTCTTTGAATCCCTTTCTAAATTCTTTCATAAATACTTACTAGTTTGATTGTCACTTAATGCAGCACCTCAGTGTTTGCTGGTGGTGGTGATGGAATTTCACTTAACAGTCTCTCCATAAATTATTCCACTAAATAATGTTTCCCTGAGGAAACCCAGGCAGCTTACAAAATACTGTTAAACACTCACAACAAAACCTGCAGAGTATTTTATTTAAGAAAAGGAATGTAGTGTTATGACATAGGGGGAAAAAACTATGCAAAACAGTCACATGGAAAGAAAGTATTTTAATTTTAAAAATCCAAGTTTGCTTAATTTCTTGTGAGCTGTTCAACACTGTTTTAAATATCCTGAATAACTGTGTCAACAAAATTCATCCCCAGTGTTTCCACAGGAGACATTAAAATTAAAGATCAAATTATACTTTTTTTCCTTTAACCAAAGTAGTCTTTTTCTCAGTCCTTTTTGTGCAAAAATATTACAAGAGCAATTCAAATGGAAACGCTGAAATGACATGCCAACATTTCAGGGCACATTTAAAACACTCAGAATAATTCTTGAAATTATTATATTCTAAAATATTACTAGCAATCACTTTTAGATTAGTTCTGTACATCTACTCACACGGATGCAATTTTCCTAGACCTCTGAAAAATAAACAGGCTCATTGGTCTCTTTTGGTGTCCACACAATAGGCAAGATAGGTTTACAATAGTGTTTAAATCAAACTAGGCATCTACAATCTCTTGACTCCACCACATTCAAAACAAAAGTCAAAGTTCATTTGGCTATCTTGAAATCACTCCCATAAACCAACTACGGTTCACTGGATCTAAACATTTCTCAGAAATGTGTCATTTTATATAATTTCACCTAAGTGATGATTTGGGGATCCTTTAGAATTGGTTAACGCCTAAGAATAAACTTTATCAAAATGAGTAATTGCAATAAAGTGCTTGTTACATTTCCAAATGATGCTTTTAGACTGTGGTATGTTGTTTTAAAAGTGTGTGCTATTCCTTCCGTAAAGGATCCCCAGGCATGAGAGTTGGGTCTTCTCACCTGTCTCATAAAGCAGCAGCACTATCT